GGCAATCTTGTTCATTCAAGAATACGGTCAGCTTTGAATGGCAACACTGAAGAAACTATTCAGTGATTATGTGATCTCAGAGGTTGTTGAACATGTGGGGCACATTGGCCATGTCTCTTCAGCGGTCAAAGTACCCTGTTTTTTTTTCAGGCAACTGTATTTTCGTTCGTCCGTCCTGCGGTCGTGCTTTTTCGAAATTTCCCCCAATAGCTTTGCGTGGTAAACCGGAAACTTTGCAGCAATGCATTTTTCACCTTGTTATAACCCATCAAATTATCGGCAGTCATGCCGGTGATCACTGTCAAGGCTTCGCCCGTTAAACGCATTATAACTGCAAGGGCCTATTTATTTTGTGGTCATTCTTACCCTGTTGCCACGCACTCGAAAGTTTGCACGCATGCAGGCAGGTCATCGCGCCGCTCATCAAACAGTGGTAGCAGTTTTTGTGGATTGGCAACCAAAGAGGCATATTTCACGAGAGGCATAGATATGGCGTTTGGTGCTGTAGCTGCACTTGCGCCTTCTCGAAGCTTTAGCTTCAGCTCGAGAATTCTTTCAGCTCTTTCACCTGCTTCTTTGCTCGCTTCTCTTTCTGGAGCACGTTCATCCCTTACTTTTGCCTGCTCGCTTTCAATGTACTTTTTCAGCTCTGCGCCCGACAGACCTAGCTGTGTGCCGAAAGCGGCTAACTTATCGGTATTTATAATCTGACCGACTACTGTGAGCGTGCACTAGAGTTACGATGTATTCCTTCAATGTTTTAGAAGCGAAATCTTGGCAGGCTCGCCAAATTCCGATGTACTATCGGGTGTCTAGTTCGGCCCAGCACCACCAGACAATGATTTCAATAGAATCCAAGGGTGCACACACACAAACAAGAATATGTTTACAATAAAATATGCAAATGCTAATAACGCATAACAAAAGTAAAGCTGTCCTGTGCAGTCCTTTCTGAATGCGCGTGTCCTAATTAAAAGTATTTTGCCGTGTTTGCCCGTGACTGCTTGGTCCACACTCATTCGCACTAGTGCGCCTCTGACTCACTGATGTTCTCAGCGTGAGTCACTCCACGCCACGGGGCGGATGTAACCCGCACAGCAGTCTGCTAGCGGTAACTTACCAGCCAACACGCTCATCCAGCAGCACACCGGGGTCGCGGCAGCCACAAAGAACGCAAGCTGGAACAGCGGCCCAAAGAAAACCGAAACTCGCAGCCACTGTGGACGGTGCCGGGGATAGTGGCGCGAACTGCGGCCCCTTGCCTGAACCCTGGGTTAGACACCCAGCCGAATTCCAGAAACCGAACAGCAGCCCGAGGACATCCACGGGTTCTTCGGATTGGACGTCCAGCCAAGAAGTGCCTTGATCGCTGCTCTGTCTCAAACGCTGGCCCATGCGCTTTCATCACTTGTGCATGATCCTCTTTCTCGTCATCTTCCACGGCAATCGTGCCGTTACGGTTTATATTTGGAACCTCTATCGCACCAACGTTATCCACAATAACATGTAACCTCGCTAAATGGGCCCCCGTAAAGGTAGGGTCTAAACTTGCCAATGGCCCCCCGTATGATGGCTAGGCACTCTTTTTCAGTGACTGAATAGTTGGCTTCAGCTTTTGTGAGTGCACGGCTGGCATAAGAGAAGGCTTACTTGTCTAATACAGGTTTACGCGTCGCGAGCACAGCCCCGACACCAACCCCGCTAGCATCCATGTGTATTTCCGTCGAGGCAAGTGGATCCCAATGTCGCAGTATTGAAGGTTACGTAAGAAGGTGCTGAAGCGTGGCAAATATATTATCACACGCTGAAGACCATCCAGAAAGGTCACTGTTGCCTGCTAGAAGGCCAGTCAAGGGCGATATGATGGAGGCGAAGTTGCGAATAAAACGACGAAATAATGAACATAAACTGAAGAACATGCGAAGTTCGTTTAAGGTCTTCGTCTTAGGAAATTCGGCACAGCATCACCCCAAATTGGTAGTTCTTGAGCTGTATATTTGCGGAGGTGATTCAAGTCAGCACTGTCTCTAGGCGCTGAAGTTGCGCTGAAAAGTCGCTTGAATTTATCACGATATCATCTAGAGACACACAAAAACATCTGCCCTTTCATTCTACAGAGGATGATGTTCATTATGCGCTTGAAAGTGGCAGGCGTACTGCAGATCTCGAAAGGCATGACGTTAAATTCACATAAGCTCTTGGTGGTAATGAAAGTCGTCTTGGCCGATCAGCGTCTGCCATGGGAACCTGCCAAGAACCTTAGCACAGGTCTAGTGAAGAGAACTCCGTGCCTTGTAAGCAGTCAAGGTGATCGTCTATGCGAGGTAGGGGGTAAATATGTTTGCGTGTGATCTCATTCAACCACCGGTAGTCATGAACAAATCTTATTGAGCCATTCTTTTTCTCGACGGGAACAACCGGGTAGGCCCAGAAGCTCTTAGAGGGCTCAATAACATCACGCTTCAACATGTCATCAATTTTTTTTAAAGTAAACTTGTTCCGCGATTATAGGACGCTAAGATAGCGATGCCCTATACAGACACTGACGCAAAGAAACGTGAAGGCCAGCGTGAGTTTGGTGGGATAGTGTGGAAGCATGGCCCAAAGTTAGTTGCTGGTGCTCGGAGCTGGCGCGGAAGCGCTCGAGGGGGGCGATGTTGTCGACGCGCTGCAGGGTCCTCGGGTCATGTCAATGCAGCGTGATAGTGCGTCGGTGAGTGATGGGGAAGAGGGTGACGCGGAGCATTCAACAATGTTCATAGGTAGCTTAGTCGGGTAGCCAGGAACGACATCTCGCAGGGAACAACGTCATCGGCAAATCCCAGGAACTCTGCGCCCAGTAACTTAGAAGGTGAGGGAAATAGATTTGAAACATATATTGCACATAATTCATCGTTAGTGGTCAGAATAGCAAAATGACTCAGTAAACACTTGTGGTGGACAGCGGTTTCAGAAGGCACAATAAAGAACCGTTGAGCCATAGGCGACGTCACAGGAAACCTGAGCTACGGCGGAATAGAACTGGGGTATCGGAGTGCCAGCGGCAACGAAAACTTTTGCTGGTAAAAGCGGCAAGTAGGGTAAAGCAGGGTCACAGAACGGCGAGAACTCTACTTCGGCACGAGCACAGTCAATAACGGCAAGATGAGTGCCGCGAAAGTAGCAGCCTAATATAACGTCATGGGAACACCGCGGGAGCACTGCAAACTCGGCTGCATGAATATCGTCAACAATAAGGGCACTCAGCAAAAGGGCGAATTTGATGCTCGCTCGCAGTGTTCAAAAGTAAGTCATGAAGAGGCGTTGGACTTCTTTTTGTCGACGGCAGAGTTAATCAGTGATTAGAGACACTGCGGCACCAGTACAAAGCAATGCAAAAACAGATATACCTTCAACAGAAAGAGCAACGCCGTTGGACGGTAAAAAAAGGTCCTGCGGAGTTCGAAAGGTCCGCAATTCCTGCCTCCGGAACGGTGGCTTCTACTTTTCCTCAGGGGCAGGGAAAGTGTGTTAGCTTGAGCTAGTGGGTATGACATTGCGATAGGTATAGCGCGAGAACAAAACGATTACCAGAGACAAGAAAGACACGAACGCTAACATCCAACTGAGATTATTGCGCAGAGCGCGAAAGTATATAGAGGAGACAGTAACCACGTGACAAAAACTATATGGCACAAAGAGCAAAGCTTGAGCAAGAGAAAAAACAAAAAAAACAAAAGCACAGAAAAACGCTAAGAAAAGTCTATAAGGAAACAAAACAGAAAAGTAAAGGTAATAATCCAACTTGCGCGCACCAAAACCTTCGAGAAACCTTAATTCCTTCACGGACAAAGACACGGAGAGCTTGCTAATGCATGACACCTGTTCGCGTGCAATCTGCGCGGCCTCGACGATGACTCGGGTGTGCTCAACCTTCTGCTTGTACAGTTTCACTGTGTCCTTGAAAAGGGGCACACAGTTGCACTGAGTGCAGTGCTGAGCAAAAAAAACATCTTTCCCGTTTCTAACATTCGTTAGCGTGTTCTCTGAGCCGGTAGTTCAGGCACCTTCTGGTCGTTCCGACATAACAAGCCCCACATGAAAGGGGGTCCTTTAGACGACTTCCCGGGGGCATGCCGCATAGCTGTTTCTATGCTGAACTCTTCATTCCGTTGGTAACTGCGTTTTCAGGGGGCTTATAGATTTGTGAGGCTTATTAATTTGAACATTGCAGAGAACCGGACACGAACTCCAACTCTTTTACCCATTTTCTTGAGCCTGTGTGATATCTGGTGTTTCATGGTATCACGGCTATCTTTTCACGTTCTGTATTCGTGTTGCTCGGATTCTATCACTGCCTCTACTCTGCCTTATTAGTCCACAGGATAGTCTCAGCAACGGAAGTGATAAACGCCTCAAGGAAACCCGCCGAAGCCTTAAGCCGGGAAACATGAGCCTTGAAACTCGGAGAGATGTTGTGGCCGCACGACCTATTTAGGGCATTCTCAAGACACGTTCATGCTATGCCTCACTTAACTAACTTGCTGTGAGCGGAAGAAAAAAGAAGTAAAGGTTTCTGCGCACGTGGTTCATAACACCAACAAATGTGCTGTGAGCTCACAGCACATCTATTGGTGTTATGAACCACGTGACAACATATGACAACATGGTGGGCTTGGTGTCTGTGCCACTGCACGGATCACTAATCAATTCGCTCCCGCTATGCAGATGGTCCGTTACGTCATCGCTCATCTGCTGCTACCTGCGCTTGCGCATGCGGTAGCGCCGGCGGAACATGGCTTCAGCTGTCCTGGAAGCGACGAAGGCAGCGCATGCCCTCTGCCTATCGTCAAATGCCTGGCTCGACCAGAAGAGGGACTCTGGGCAGCTGAGCTCAACCAAGCCTGGACGGTTGCATCATCGTCGACATCCACGAGCCCGACACCTATAAAAGCACAAGGACCTTCAACGGAGCGCTGGGGCTTGGTGTCTGTGCCACTGCACGGATCACTAATCAATTCGCTCCCGCTATGCAGGTTGGTGAGCCCTACGTTGTCTTTTCGAAAAGATCTGGTAATTACTTTCTGGTACAGCTGCCAAGCCCGCATTGCTGTATGGTTATTATTGCCGAGTGTGTCCATGTAATTCGTGCACTACTAATTCTAGCTGGAGATGTTGAAACTAACCCTGGCCCCTCAAATATCTCTGAGAACCTTCTTGTTGAATTGCGTAAGCTGTCTACAGGTCAAACACAACTAATTGCAGAAGTACAGGGCTTGAAGTCTCAGCTCGGTAACACCGATAAAACAATTGGCGAACTGAACAAAAGATTATCAGACCTTGAAAGTCATTATCAGTCTCTGGTACCACTTCGAAAAGAAATAGAAGTCCTGCGCGTTAACACGGAGCAGACCTCCTGCAGAATCTTTGCACTAGAAGCCCGTATTGATGACGCTGAAAATCGCTCAAGGCGAAACAACCTAATATTTACGGTATCCCGGACCCTTCCGCATCTGAAACATTTTCTGAATCGGAGCGGCTGGTAATGAATCTTTGCCGGGACAACCTACAGGTTCACTTAGAACCAAGAGATATCGAACGCGCGCATCGTCTCGGTCGACATTCACCTGAACGCTCCCGGCCCATAATCGTGAAGATTGCTCTGCACAAGACAAAAACTGCAATATTATCGAATGGTCGCAAGCTTAAGGGGACAAGTTACGGCATAGGTGAAGACTTCTCACGCTCAGTCCAAAATGCTAGAAAACAACTAATTGCTTTTGCGAGAAGTAACAACAAGCCATTTTCAATGCACTTCAAAACACTGCACATGAATCAGAAGCGCTACATTTTCGACGCCGAATCAAACACCGTCAAAGAACTATCGTAGCAATCAAGCCACCGGGAAAAAAAAACGACCGCTGTTGCGGTTACTAGCAAAACTCTTTCACTTTCTGTTATTTACACTAACATTCGCAGTTTCCTACCCAAACGGGAACTTATATCTAGCACTGTATCATCCTCTGAAAGCAATGTGCTATTACTTACCGAAACGTGGTTAACTGATGACATCCGTGATGACGAAGTTCTGTCAGAATTACCAAACTTCCAGTTGTACAGGAATGACCGCGCATCTACTCGTGGTGGCGGTGTACTCATTGCTGTTCACGAGCAATTATCTTGCTCAGTCGTACATATTAAAACAGAGCTAGAAATGCTCTGGGTACTTATTAAGGCACGTCCTCAGTCCGTTGTACTGGGCGTTTGTTACCGACCACCCCGTGCTAGTTCCAATTTTAGCAACCAACTTAATCAGGCCATGTGCCAGCTCACGTCTGCTCATCCAAACGCGCACGTACTTTTATTCGGTGATTTTAATTTCCCACAAATAGAATGGCGCACCAGCAATGTGCATTCATCTACGGGTGTAGGTGAAGCTAATGCGTTTCTTGATATTTGCCTAAACTTCAACATGACCAAACTAGTCACAGAGCCAACACGTGTATCGCAAGATACAGCCAGTATCCTGGATCTGATACTAACCAACAATCCTGAAAGCCTGTCACGCATTCACTATCTACCCGAAATCAGTGACCATAAGACAATTCACGCCACTTTTTCTTTTCAACCGCTTAAACGAGAAACCTACAAAAAAACGATCCATCTATATGACAGAGGGGATTACGAAACAATAAACGAAGCTCTTAGCGCATTCTTCCACACTTTCCAAGCAACTTTACATCAACACACAGTAGATACGAATTGGACCCGCTTTATCGGTAAACTGACGGAGCTAACCGATAAATTCATACCTAAAGTCAGCTTCACAAGCACCTGCAACAAACCCTGGTTTACTAAAAATCTAAAACGCCTTGAAAATAAAAAGAAACGTTTATTCCGATCTGCCAAACGTGCAGGTCAACCGAGTGTATGGGATAGGTACTATGAGGCTGACCGCAATTATCTTTTAGCCCTGCGCAAAGCAAAAAACTTCTTCTATAACACAGACCTACCCAAGCTACTGCAGACTAATCCCAGACAGTTCTGGAAAACACTTAAGGCTGACAAACCGCGTGACACTGTACTAACCTTTGAATCTGGTGAAGCTATTACTGACGGGGAATGTGCGAATCTATTCAACGCTTCTTTTGCTACAGTTTTTACTGATGAATCAAGCACACACTCCCGCATACCTTCACTTGGCTTTAATTGTAATCATGACATGCCAGCAATCAATTTCTGCGCAAATGGAATATTGTCTATAATAGAAAAAATGAAATTGTCATCCTCTGCGGGCATGGATGGTATCAATTCCAAAATTCTAAAAAATGTTAAAGAGAGTGCTTCGCTCTTTCTTGCTCTAATATTTTCCCAGTCCCTTTCCTCAGGAATCATCCCATGTGACTGGAAGATAGGGAAGGTCGTTCCGGTCTTCAAATCAGGCGATAGAAACTCTCCACTTAACTATCGCCCCATCTCCCTAACAAGCGTCCCCTGCAAGATCATGGAGCATGTCATCTACTCCCACATAATGAATTTTCTCGACAGCAATAATTTTTTTCACCCTTCACAACACGGCTTCCGTAAGGGGTTGTCGTGTGAAACACAGCTGGCAGCCTTCTTGCATGACATTCATACTAACCTCGACGTTAACGTGCAAACTGATGCCGTTTTTCTTGATTACACTAAAGCATTCGATAAGGTGCCTCATCAACGATTGTTCGCTAAACTTTCCCAACTAAATTTACATCCCACCGTCATAAATGGATAATAGAGTTCCTTACTAATCGATCACAACGCGTCGCTGTAAATAACCACCTGTCTACTGCCATCCCAGTAACATCAGGTGTCCCTCAAGGCTCCGTCCTTGGCCCGCTACTATTTTAATCTATATTACGACTTACCTTTGCATGTAACCAGTAATATACGTATGTTCGCAGATGACTGCGTTGTCTACCGCACAATACTAAACACCTCTGACCAGTTAACCTTAGAGAACGATCTTACTAACGTTTCGAAATGGTGTACCACTTGGTTAATGACACTAAACGTAAATAAATGCAAAACTATGTCATTTACGCGTAGCAATAATCCGCTCATGTTTCCGTACACAATCAACAGCTTACCCCTAGAACTGACTAACTCTTATAAATACCTAGGTGTCACCGTGACTAGCGATCTGAACTGGCGTACGCATGTCAAAACATCATTTCATCGTCTAACAAAACCTTAGGCTTTTTAAAACGTCACCTCAAAAATGCTCCAATGCAGGTAAGATTACTTGCCTACACATCACTAGTGCGACCGAAATTGGAATACGCATCCGCCATCTGGGACCCGCACCAAGCATACCTCATCTGCGCTCTAGAATCAGTTCAAAACCGTGCAGCTCGCTTCATTCATTCTTCGTATTCATACGACATCAGCGTCACATCACTAAAATTACTATCCAATCTTCCATCGCTCGCTCTTCGTCGGCGCATTTCTTCTCTTTGTCTTACCATAAATTTTTTCACAGTTCAATCCTGCATCAACCATCTTACATCAAACCCGCAACACGCATATCAGCCAGGACAAGCCACACGCAGCAGGTTTCATTAATGCGCGCTCGAACATCAACATTTCTCGCGTCATTTTTTTCCCGCACAGCAAAAGACTGGAACGACCTCCCTTTTTCCATTGTCGACATAATATGTCCATCTTCTTTTGCACAACATGTCACTGACCATCTTCTAACAAATAACCTTTAAGTGCTTTTTTGAATTACATGTTGGTTACGTGTGTTATTTATTGTACATGCATATTTCCTTGTAATATGAAGAAATGTATATAGTTGAAACCCATGTATTGATTACGTTTGTTAAATATTATTCCCACCCCTTATGTAATACCCCCATTGGGGGTCTTTAAGGAAAATAAACTGACTGACTGACTGACTGAACATATGCAACTACAATAATACTAACAGCAGTTCCCTACTTACCGAGAAATCATAGTAAATGCATAAGTGTACGTGCGCCACAGTAGTACATTATAAAAATGATACCGATAACGTCAGACGAACTGCCTGCATTTAATAACTATTAATCTAACAAACTGCACTAAATAAAGAACCATTCATGCATCAAGAGACGCAATTAAATTCTGCTTGTTTGTTTTGTTCTGAATCATCAAAGAAACAACCACCGGACGTTACCTTAGAGAATCGTGCAAGTGGTTCAAAAATTCAATTTTAACGTGGTCACACTAGACTGGTCGTACCATCTAGCGGGGCGCAGTTGAACCAAAGTAAGCCTGACAACTTGGAGCCATGGACAGGAAATTTATCAACTGCCTTCGCTTCTGCTCTGGCTCCTGCTCATAGAGCTTCACACAATGAGACCTTGAGAGGAATCGGGCACTGCGATTGTGTACCTCCATGGGAAATATGGGAAGTACAGGCTTTAGATTGGATAAGGTTAACTGGAGAACTGTTCGCGGATTTTTTTCTACAGTTTCAGTTTCGTTCTTTGCGCAGCGTGGATAGTGGAGTGCGGTTAAAAAGGCCTTTGTTGTTCATAGAAACTGACGATCACTATACTTGGCGACAGCTTTCTGTGGCCGCACAGCCAAAGCTGCGGGAGCGGAGCTTCAGCAAATGTGTTACTACGCCTAGAAGTCAATTTCCGTGCGATTTTCGTTTTCGTTTCACAAGCGCATAGCCGTTCACTTTTTCGTGTGACCACAATGCAATAAATCTTACTTTTGTATAAGAGGATATCAATGAGATGTTCAGTTTTTAAGGAAAAGAACACAAAGGTTCTTTGAAACGTTGTCATTTAATTAAGAAAAAAAGCGTATACGGCCGAGCAGGTACTTGCCCATTGGACAAATCACCGCATACGCCCGTAATAAATGATGATGAGTGGGGCAAAGTGCTGGAGGGTTATATTTACAAATAATGTATATACTGTTACAAGAACTTCTACAATTCGTAAGTGGTAGCTATATGTCGCTTACGCTCTTTCGTAATTACAACGGCTTTGTGGTATGTGAGTGCTGGATCGGTGATGGGGCATAGTAGAATGTTCGCAAGGATGAAGTAATGGGCAGTTCGCAAAGGTAAAACTATAGGCGGTCACGTACATACATACATACGTACGTACATACATACATACATACATACATACATACATACATACATACATACATACATACATACATACATACATACATACATACATACATACATACATACATACATACATACATACAAACATACTGTAAGGGGGTTTATTTGCAGAGCAGAACGCAGAAGGCGAAGCAGTTAGCAGCGTCGGGCCAAGCGCAGCAAGCACGAGCTTATGCTGATGGCGATGCCCCTGAGGCGCCGAGAAATGCCGCTGAGGCCCCTCTTCTTCACTACAATCGCCCTCCACAGAAAAAGGCGCCATCTTGGCGGATTAGGGAGAAGAAACGACTAATGGATCATAATAAGGCTTGAGGCGAGAGACGTGGACAGTGTCGCGGCGGCGGTAGCGTAGTTGTGTGGATGGGTTGATGGGCTCCACGATATAGTTCACAAGTGACGTTTGCTCTACAACAGGGTATGGCCCGATGTATTTGGGAAGAAGTTTTGCGGAGCGGCCAGGTGTGGTAGCAGGTGCCCAAAGCCATAACAATGAACCAGGTGGAAAGTTTGGAGCCGAACGGTCCCCAGTCAGGCGGGATCGCTGCTGCCACTGGTCTTCAGTAGAAAAAAAGCGGGCAAGCCGACGGCATTCTTCAGCATGTCGAGCAGCTTCGAGCAGAGTTGTACTTTCAGACTCATAAGGTTTATATGGAAGAATAGTGTCTACTGTATTTGAAAGTTCTCGTCTGTACAGAAGAAAGTATGGCGAAAACCCAGTAGTAGCTTGTACGGCAGTATTATACGCGTAGGTGACGAACGGGAGAACTTGGTCACAATTGGAATGATCAGAGGCGACGGACATCGACAGCATATTGCCAACAGTACGGTTGAAACGCTCCGTCATGCCATTCGTCTGAGGGTGGTACGCTGTACTTGTGCGGTGCACGATTCGGCATTCGTTGAGTAATGCCTTCAAGGCGTCAG